ACACACACACACACACACACACACACACACACACACACTTACATGTGAGGGGATGTAGATGTCGTAGGGATTTCCAGAATCCACATCAATTACATGGAAGCCAACACTAGAGCCATAGATGACCTTTAACCTCTGCCCTTCCTCTACAGTCAGGTCCACCAGCTGGGGGCGATGCTGCAGGTCAGTGAAAGACTGGCAGACGGAGAAAAGAAGAAGAAGTCATGCACTAAAACAGCTGGATATAACTTTGTGAATCGGGCGTGTGATATTTCCTCCGTAGTTGCAGAGGACAAATAAAATAAAGAAATACAAAGAAATCAGTATCATGTACTTTTCCAAATATCACAAGTCGTAGCTTGATTACCTTGAAAGCCATAAACTTGTGGTAAGGTTTAGGTGCCCAGGCATAGATCTCAACTGAGTTCTTCAGAGCAATCACCAAGAATTTAATCCTCTCGTACTTCACTGCAGAAATAAAGACACATTTTAATGTTCATTTAAAAACAAATCTCAGGATTTCAGCTAAAAAGATTTGAATTCAACATAAGATCTAATAGATATTCATTTCTAGTTTGTTAGTGAACAGGTCCTCACGTCTCCCATAAACGATCTGAACGTACCGACTTTGTAGTGCACGCAGCCCTCCAGGTCCCCGACTGTGATCCAACCCTGTTTCTTCTCCACTTCAGGGTCATTGTGTAATATCCTGTTCCTCAGCCAGGACAGGTAGTAAACCCGCAGCTTGTTCTTCTTCCCTGTTTTGGAGGAAAATTCAGAATTCAAATGAAATAATAATTCACTTCCTGTATGGAACAATCATAAATTAAATGGCGTCTGCGTCTTTGTGAGTTGAACCCATCAACTGTGGATCTGTGATGTGGCGTTTGGTGAAAGCTGCCAACCTGAGATGGTGACCAGGACGTTGAGTCCCTCCAGGACGTCCATCTGTTGGAAGCGCCTTCGATTGATCAGGTTGTAAACTTTGCCTTGACCACTTCGATCCAGCAGCATCAGGCCGTTCTCCGTTCCCACCAGCAGGTTCACTCCTGCCCAAAACACACACACGCTTCCTTTTTACCGC